AAGGGGAAACTCTTGAGGTTTAAACCTCAAGAAAATATTTCCAAAAATATTTACACAACAAAGTAATTCTAATTGTTTCTTAGGTGTTAAAATAGAATTGCTGAAGGCAAGGAGTGGTATTACTTTCAAAGGGTACACTTGCTCACTTTATTCAATTAGGGATAAGTAAGATTCATTTTTTTAAAGAATCGAACGTTAAGATGAGCCTTTTCTCTAAACAAAACCAAAACAATGACTCTTAACATTTGGAAATTTAAAAAAAATAAATTTCAATTTGAATTCTCATCTTCATGAGTGTTGTTCTCTTATGCAAAGCACTCATCTTACATGATAGTCAACTTTACTAACAAAATAAAATAAATTATATCTGTTGTTTTCAATTATCAGGTTTAAATATGAAACTAGTTTTATTTTTAAAATCTAAGCACTATGCATATTTACTAAATAGCTATTTTTTTCCAAGAATTCGTCTAGACACTGAAAATGTTAGCATTTAAAAAAAGCTGAGATTACTTTGTAATGATAATGCTGATAATAACTTGTTGTGAATAAGGAAAGGGATGATAGGGACGGAAGTTGAAGTAATATGTACAAAGAAAAGTAATTCAACAAAAATTCATTTAGGTATCTTACCCAAATTTACCTTGCAAGGAAAGCAATTATCATCAAATAAAATAAAATTGTAAATACAAAACTATCAGTCAATATCAGTGATGGGAACATTTTTATTAACTATCTTAAAGTAGGTGAATTTAAACAAACATATATTTTTCCACTTTAAAAATAATTGTTTTATATTTTATAACAAAAATAAATTTAAAAATAATTTTACATTGCTTGATATGAGTCTGCATTTTCATTCCTTCATATATATATATATATGCCATGGGGAAATTTTTCTATATACAACTTCTCCATCAAAATAGTTGATCACCACACTGAATGAAAACAGAAAGCAATTTAATGTGATTTTATTTTTTTCAGGAACGTTTGTACATGAAGACTTTGGATTCATCTCTGTGGTAGATAAACATTCTAATTCAATGATGGGGCTGGTCCGAGATTGGTGGGCTCCGCACAGCATAGGTATGTACTAGAACTTCCCACATTAATATATAGTTTGGCTTGTGTATAATTTCAATATACCCAGAATTTGATACAAGCATGTAATGTGTAGAAAAGCAATTTATTCCTATTGACTTATGTTCATTTTATGTTCATTTTACATTATGTTAATATTATATTTTAAATCAAGTCTCAAAAGCTTGAAAGCTTTTTTTCCTAGCCTGAAATAGTAGTTAAAAGAAATGAACTTAATCCAACTTTCAGCAATCTCTAGTTTTGAGATCTGGGACAATCCCCCACCTCTCTGTAAGCTGCCACCACCCACCCGGTTCCCTTGCCAGTCCCCAATCCCGCCCCACTGCTGCCACCCACCAGGTTCCCCTTGCTAGTCCTCAGTGCTGCCCTGCCACTGCCACCCACCCTGGTTCCCCATGGTTCCCTATTCACCATCCAGCGATCTGAGCCTGCAGGCCAGGGGGAGGAACCAAGAGGTGATCAATGCACCTCATAGCGACTAGTAGAGCTGTTGATCTGGTCAGTACACCATTATGGTCACTGGGCTGTTATTATCTAGTATAAGCAATAAATCATTGGCCACCTCTAAGATTAAATTTCTGAATTCATAAAATAATACCTACCTTCTTCATATTTTAAACAATTAACTTACATATTATCTGTACAATGTTTTAGCTTAATTTTAGTTATAAAAAGTAATTAACATTAGCATTCTATATAAGAAAGAGTTAATATGCAAATTGACCATCACTTCAACACACAAGATTCCCATCACCATATGATCAAAGATGGCCACCACAAGATGGCCAGCAGGGGAAGGCAGTTGGGAGGGATCAGGCCTGAAAGGGAGGGCAGTTGGGGTGATCAGGCCTGCAGGCAGAGGCTGTTAGGGGCAATCAGTCATATATATCTTATCTAATAAAAGACAAAAAGGGTAATTAACCATACCTCTGCTATGCTTCCCATTGACTAATCAGGGTGATATGCAAGTTAACTGACAACCAAGATGGCGACTGACAGCCAGGCAGCAGAAGCAAACAGGAGGCTTGCTTTATCCAGTGATGGAGGAAGCCAAGGTTCCCCGCCTGCTGTGGTTGGCTCTGAGCTCTGGAAGCAACGATGTTTCAATTATAAAAGCTAAACAAACCCCAGATACCTGCTTTCAGCTGGCCGCAGCCTCAGAGCTTGAGCGAGCAGCAGAACAACGTTTCAATTATAGAAGCCAAACAAATCCCAGATACCTGCTTTCAGCCAGGCAAGGCTTCAGAGCTGGAGTTGGCTCTCAGCTCCAGTGACAGCTATAAAAGGTAAATAAATCCCAGAGTAAAAAAAAGAAAAAAGAAAAAAGTGGTCATCCCCCAAGGGGTCCCAGACTGTGAGAGGTCACAGGCTAGGCTGAGGGACTCTCCACCCTGAGTGCACATATCATCTATATATATGTATAAACTCCAGGCCTCTAATATATATAATGTCTTTGTGAGTATGCACATATCATCTATTCTAATAAAAAAGAAACATGCAAATTGACCAGTACATCTTCACTACACCCCCAAGCCATGCCCACTAGCCAATCAGAGTGTTTATATGCCAATTAACCCAAACAAGATGGCTTCTGGCAGTCATGGAGCTGGAACAAGCAGGAGGTTTGGCTGCCTTGGCCAGCTCTGGCCTCCACTGAAGGCAACAAAGTTTCTGTTATATAAGATAAATAAACCCCAGATACTTGCTTCCAGCCAGCCTCCACTGGGAGCTTGGGTAGCTGGAAGCTGTGGCAAGCCTGCAAACATCCATCAGCTCCTCACCCAGACTGGCCAGGCACCCCAGCAGTACCACCCTACCGTGAAGGGACTGTGGTCTGCCTGAAAGCTGCCATCAGCCCCTCACTCAGCCTAGTCATATCTTCATGGAGTGAGGGTCCCCACTGGGGGCCTTGGCAAGCCTGCAAACAGTCATCAGCCACTCACCCAGGCTGGCCAGGCACCCCAGCAGGACCACCCCCACCATGAAGGGACTGTGGTCAGCCTGAAAACAGCCCTCAGCCCCTCATCCTTGCTGGCCTGGCACCACAGTTGGGATCCCCACAGTGAAAGGGCTGTGGCCAGCCTGTAAACAGCCATAAGCTCCTCACCCAGGCCGGCCAGGCACCCCAGTGGGGAACCCCACACTAAAGAGGCTGTGGCCAGCCTGCAAACAGCCATCAGTTCCTCACCAAGGTTAACCAGATACCTCAGGGGGGACCCCTAACCTGAATGGGCTGTGGCCAGCCTGTAAACAGCCATCAGCCACTCACCCAGGCTGGCCAGGCACCCCAGTGAGACCCCCACCATGATCTGAGATACCCTTCAGGGCAAACCATCTGGCCCCCACCATTCACCAGGCTTCTATCAAATAAAGTGGGGCCTTGACTTACGAGTGTCCTCACTAACGAGTTTTTCGAGATATGAGCTGTCTCCCGGCCGAATTTTTGCTTTGAGTTGAGTTGCAAGCTAAAATTCGGGTTACAACCCAGCTTCAGATACCCCACCGCTAGTTGGTGCAGCAAATGTCACAGTGATTTGACATACGAGTAATTTGAGTTATGAGCTCCATCATGGAACGAATTAAACTCGTAAGTCAAGGCTCCACTGTATAATAAAAGGGTAATAGGCAAATTAATGGGGGCTCTGCTCAGCCACAAGCCAGGCTAACGGCTGCCAGTACAGCGGTGGTGGTGGGAGCCTCTCTTGCCTCCTCAGCAGCATTAAGGATGTCTGACTGCAGCTTAGGCCTGCTCCCCGCTGCCAATTGGGCATCCCCCGAGGGCCACAGGGCTGCCAGAGGGATGTCTGACTGCCAGCTTAGACCCAATCCCCCTGGGGAGTGGAACTCAGCCAGCAGGTGGTTTTCCAGGGAGGGGTCCCAGACTCAAAGAGGGAACAGGCTGGGCTGAGGGAAGCCCTTCTCCGAGTGCACAAATTTTTGTGCACCGGGCCTCTAGTATCTAATAAGGAGGAAATATGCTAATTGCTACCTCACCCACAAATATGGTGGAGCCCACAGCCAATAAGGAGGGAATATGCTAATTGACTGCCATGCCCTGAAAGATAGCGTCACCCAAAGCTACAAGATGGCAGTGCCCAGTCCCCTCAGCCCTGCCAGGGTGGCAGGCACAGCTAGGCTGGGCCCACTTCCAGTCGGGCACAGCCACTCTATGTGTCTGCCTCCAGAGTCCGCCAGTACCCTCAGCCCATCAGCCTCCCAGGGCCGGCCTGAGGCACAGGCAAACCTGGGATGGCAGCAGACCAGCCACCCAGGGCTGAATTGAGGCACAGGTAACCAGGACTGGCTGAGGTTTGAGCCTCCAGCAGTAGCGGCAGAAGAGGTGTGGTGAGGCACTGCCTTCCCCTGATAGCCAGGTCCCCTCCTACCCCTGAGGTCTGCTATACTATGAGAGGTGGCAGGCTGGGCTAAAGGACTCTGCCTCCAGTGTATGAATTTTCATGCACTGGGCCTCTAGTATGTTTATATACATGAAAAATATCTATAAATCGAATTTGCATGATAAAGCATACTGGATTCCACTCAAACTTATGTGCACAGGATGATTAAAAAGTTTAATTTTCCTTTCTGTTTTCTTTCACACAGTTAATTTACAACCATTGTTCATAACTTTTTCCTTTTCATTCAGAAAGAGATTATGTAATCTTAGCATCTGCTTCTTAAAACTTTGGGACACTTTTTATCACTGAATTCAAAATCTATAGGTCATAAAATGCTGTTAGGACCTAATATTTATTTCACCAGTTAGCAAAATCTCTGTGGTGGAGGCAGATGGGAGTACTTTGATTTGCTGCTTCTTTTTTTTTTTTAACAGGAAAGTGAGGTTAGAATAACGGTTGTTTTTTCTAAGTCAATTGAACATCTCTGTTTCAGTTCTAAATTGGGAACTCAGGACATTGAACCACTTTAAATTTTCACAAGAAGCAGGACGATCCTTCTCTGATCAGGTGCGTGTTTTTGTGTGTGTGTCTGTATGTGCACGCGTGTGTGCGTGTGTGTTTGTGTATGTGTGCATGTACGTTTATGTGTGTGTGTGTCTGTGTGTGTTTCTAAAACTTTTTTTTTAAAGGAGAAACTCTTGAGGTTTAAACCTCAAGAAAACATTTCCAAAAATATTTATACAACAAAGTAATTCTAATTGTTTCTTAGGTGTTAAAATAGAATTGCTGAAGGCAAGGAGTGGTATTACTTCTAAAGGGTAGTCTTGCTCACTTTATTCAATTATAGATAAGTAAGATTCATTTTTTAAAGAATCAAAAGTTAAGATGAGCCTTTTCTCTAAACAAAATCAAAAGAATGACTCTTCACATTTGGGAATTTATAAAAAAAATGAATTTCAAGTTGAATTCTCATTTTTATGAGTGTTGTGCTCTTATGCAAGGCACTCAACTTATATGATAGACAACTTTACTTACAAAATAAATTAAATTATATCTGTTGCTCTCAATTATCATGTTTACATATGAAATGAGTTTATTTTTAAAATCTAAGCACTATGCATATTTATTAAATAGCTATTTTTTTTTCCAAGAGTTCTTCTACACACTGAAAATGTTAGTATGTAAACAAAGGCAAGATTATGTTTGTTAATGATAATGCTGATAATAACTTGTTGTAAATAAGTAAAAGGATGATAGGGACAGAAGTTGAATTAATATGTACTAAGAAAAGACATTCAACAAAAATTCATTTATGTACCTTACCCAAATTTACCTTGCAAAGAAAGCAATTAACACCAAATAAAATAAAATTGGAAACATAAAACTATCATTCAATATCAGTGAAAGAAACATTTTTATTAAGTATCTTAAAGTAGATGAATTTAAACAAACTCAGATATTTTTCCACTTTACAAATAATTGTTTTTTATTTTATAACAAAGATAAATTTAAAAATAATTTTACATTGCTTGATATGAGTCCTCATTTTCTTTCTTTCCTTTTTGTGGGGAAATTTTTCTATACACAATTTCTCCCATCAAAATAGATGATCACCACACAGAAAGAAAACAGAAAGCAATTTAATAAAGGTGTGATTTTATTTTATTCAGGAACATTTGTAAATGAAGACTTTGGATTCATCTCTGTGGTAGATAAACAGTCATAATTCAATGATGGGGCTGGTCCGAGATCGGTGGGCTCCGCACAGCATGGGTATGTACTAGTACTTTCCACATAAATATATAGTTTGGCCTGTGTATAATTTCAATGTACCCAGAATTTGATACAAGCATGTAATGTGTAGAAAAGCAATTTATTCGTATTGACTTATGTTCATTTTATGTTCATTTTACATTATGTTAATGTTATATTTTAAATCAAGTCTCAAAAGCTTGAAACGATTTTTCCTAGCCTGAAATAGTGACAACATCAGAATTTTTAGTTAAAAGAAATGAATTTAATCAAACTTTTAGCAGCCTCTAGTTTTGAGATCTGGGAAAATCCCCCACCCCTCTGTAAATAAATTTTCTTTTCTGGGAAGTAGAGATATAAAACATGATATTTATCTTAATAGATTTCTATGATATTGAAATAAAGTGACATGTATTTGAATGTGCTTCTAAAACTAAAAGTACTATAAATTACTCACAGTTGGTAACATTATATTGAACTAGGGGCCCAGCGCACAAAATTGTGTGCAGGTAGGGTCCTTAGGCATGGCCTGCGATCAGGGCCATCTTCTGCCTGCTCTCCAGTCCCCAGTCCTGCCCCACCGCTGCCACCACCCACCCGGTTCCCCTTGCCAGTCCCCAGTTCCGCCCCGCCGCTGCCACCCACCCTGGTTCCTCATGGTTCCCTATTCACCATCCAGCAATCTGAGCCTGCAGGCCAGGGGGAGGAACCAAGAGGTGATCAATGCACCTCATAGCAACTGGTAGAGCTGTTGATCTGGTCAGTTCACCATTATGGTCACTGGGCTGTTATTATCTAGGATAAGCAATAAATCATTGGCCACCTCTAAGATTCAATTTCTTCATTCATAAAATTATACCTACCTTCTTAAGATCTACACTAATAAAAGACAAACATGCAAATTGACCATACCTTCGCTATGCCTTAAGCCACGCCCACAAGCCAATCAGAGTGTCTGTCTATAAGCAAATTAACCCAACAAAGATGGCGGCCGGCAGTCACAGAGCTGGAGAGTGCAGGAGGCTTGCTTGCTCCAGTGATAGAGGAAACTAACCTTCCCCACCTGCCACGGCCAGCTCTGAGCTCCACTGAAGGCAACAAAGTTTCAATTATAGAAGGTAAATAAACCCCAGATACCTGCTATCAGCCAGTCGTGACCATGGAGCTGGAGAGAGCAGGGGTGGGTTGCACCTGGTGATGGAGGAAGCCAAGCTTTCCGCAGGCCTCCGCTAAAGGCAACAAATTTTCAATTATAGAAGGTAAATAAATCCCAGGATAAAAAAGAAAAGAAAAAAAGGAGAGTCTGGGAGTTTACATCGCCAGGGGGCTTGGCCAGCCTGAAAACGGCCCTCAGCCCCTCACCCAGACTGGCGAGGCACCCCAGCGGTCACCCCCGACCCTAAAGGGGGTGTGACCAACCTGAAAACAGCCATCAATCCCTCACCCAAACCTCCATGAGGTGAGGATCCCCACTGGGGTGGACATCCTCCGAAGGATGTCACACTGCAAGAGGGCATAGGCCTGGCTGAGGGACCCCCCGAGTGCACAAATTTTTGTGTACTGGGCCTCTAGTGTTTAATTATTAACTTACATATTATCTGTACAATGTTTTAGCTTAATTTTAGTTATAAAAGGTAATTAACATTAACATGCTATATAATAAAGATGTATTATGCAAATTGACCATCACTCTAACACACAAGATGGCCACCACCATATTGTCAAAGATGGACACCACAAGATGGCCAGCAGGGCCGGGCAGTTGGGAGAGATCAGGCCTTAAAGGGAGGACAGTTGGGGGTAATCAGGCCAGCAGGGGAGGGCAGTTAGGGGGGACAAGCCCTGCAGGGGAGGGCAGTTTAGGGAACCAGGCCTGTAGGGGAGGGCAGTTAGGTGGTGAACCAGGTCTGCAGGGGAGGGCAGTTGGGTGCAACCAGGCCAGCAGGGGAGGACAGTTAGGGGCAGCCAGGCCAGTAGGGGAGAGTAGTTAGGGGTGACCAGGACAGCAGGGGAAGGTAATTATGGTCAATCAGGCCAGCAGGGAAGGGTAGTTAGGGGCAATCAAGCTGGTAAAGGAGGGAAGTTAAAGGTGACTGGGCCAGCACAAGAGGGCAGTTGGGGGGGACCAGGCCTGCAGAGGAGGGCATTTGTGGGGACCAGGATGGCAGGGTAGGGCAGTTAGTGACATTCAGGCTGGCAGGGGAGTGGTTAAGGGGTAATCAGGCTGGCAGGCCAAAGTGGTTGGTGGCAATTAGGCAGGCAGGCAGGCAGGCAGGTAGTCAAGCAGTTGGGAGCCAGTACTCCTGGATAGTGAGAGGGATGTCCGACTGCCCATTTAGGCCCAATCCAGGATCGGGCCTAAATGGGCAGTCAGACATTCCTCGAGGGGTCCCAGATTGAAGAGGGTGCAGGCTGGGCTGAGGGACACCCCCCTCCCGCCTTGCACGAATTTTGTGCACCAGATCTCTAGTTTTATTTATAAAAGGCTTTTACATACTTAATAATTTTGACTACTTCAAGAGTTACTTCTTTTTTGCTCAGAAGCAAGATTCTTTGTCACTATCCTAAAGATTTAGACTACTATTTTATTTTTTGTATATTCCTCACTATGAAGAAAATTAGACACACTAGCCTTTATTGTGGCTGACATTGTTGATGCTAAGTGCATATTATTTTATTTCACTTTTAAAAATAGCCATACCAGGCCAAAACCGGTTTGGCTCAGTGGATAGAGCGTCGGCCTGCGGACTGAAAGGTCCCAGGTTCGATTCCGGTCAGGGGCATGTACCTGGGTTGCCGGCACATCCCCAGTAGGAGATGTGCAGGAGGCAGCTGATCGATGTCTCTCTCTCATCGATGTTTCTAACTCTCTATTTCTCTCCCTTCCTCTCTGTAAAAAATCAATAAAATATATAAAAAAATAGCCATACCAGGTTGTATTGACATCCTTTGTTCCTTCTTTCCTTTCTTTCATTTTTGTTCAATTTGTGAAGCTATTAACTTAGTAAATGGCCTTTGTAAAATAAACATGTCTAACTCCCTAAGTAAGGTACTGTCTTTTTCACTATACTGTGTCTTTATTTCAATGTTAAATTTTATTACACATTAAGAACTAACTAGTTTTAATAGCACATAGGATCTTCCTAAAGATATTTTGCTATTGAATAAATATAATCTTATTTATACTACTAAGTGTAAAAATCATAATGAATTAACATAAAGCAAACCTAATTTGATGTTATACTTGAAAAATAAATGGCAAGTTAAGGTTTATAAAATTATAACCCAAATGATAGAAAGGCCATGACTCATCCTGTCTAAATTGTTTTTCTCCAGAGACACATGAATCCCATAAATATAAATTTAAACTTGTAAATCATGCTGCTTCTACACCACGGGAGAAGAAAAGATCCACATTAATCACAAATACATGTGGAGAAAACTGTAAGTAATATGTTTCATTCATCATCTTGAGGTGAAAATTGGGAACTCTGTGGTTACCAGTGGTAAACATTCAGTTTATTTTACCTTTATGAGAAAAGCAGAAATGAGATTTAATTCTAATATAATATTGGAATATATAATAAAATGAGCAAAAACTATTGAGGTTAGAATTTTTCCATGCCTTAAAAATTATAAGATTATCATAATAATGACAATTGAGACAGCAATTTCTAAGGGATCACTGAACATCTAGCTGTAAGGAGGAGTAAATAGAAATGGAAAACAGAGAAGATATACAAAATATTCTTCAGTGTTATGTATTTAAATAATATTGAGCAAAGATTTCTGTGTGGTGAAGAAGATGTGCTCTCTTTCCTTTATCAAGGCAGAGTATGATTGACAATGAAGCCTGAAATAGTTTACACAAAAAAGGAAAACAACAGACGAATCTCATTATAAATTTAAATTAAATCAGGGGTGGGGAACGTCCAGCCCACAGGCTACATAAGGCCTGAGAAATCATTTGGTCTGGCCCTGCCAAGGCGTTAGGGGTGACTCAAATAAACGTTTGACCAAATATAGCAGGGTAAGTTTTAAGTTGATAATTTTGCATGGCCCGTGAATGATATTATAAATATCCAAATGGCTCTTGGCCGAAAAAAAGGTTGCAGGCCCTGAACTAAATGTTAAAAAATAAATTATTATCAAATAGCATCACTTTCAAGAGTTAATTATAGAAATGAAAATGTGCTAGATGTAATAATAGGATTATAGATCATGTGCATAATGCTGAAAAGGTTTTGGATAAAAAATCAATACGAATTATTTTTTTTAATTAGTTTTTAGAGAGAGAAAGGGAGTGGGGAAGAGAGAAACATCCATGTGAGAGGGAAAGATTGATAGGTTGCCTCCTACACGCCCCCTAGTGGAGATCCAGCCTGAAACCTGGGAATGTGCCCTGACCAGGAAAAGACCTACAACCTTTTGGTGCACAGGGTGACGCCCGCCCAACCAACTGAGCCACACCAGCCAGGGCTCAATATGAATTCTTAATTCAAAAGAACTTAACTTTTAAAATATATTTTATTGATTTTTTACAGAGAGGAAGGGAGAGGGATAGAGAGTTAGAAACATCGATGAGCGAGAAACATCAATCAGCTGCCTCCTACACACTCCCCACTGGGGATGTGCCTGCAACCAAGGTACATGCCCTTGACCAGAATTGAACCCGGGACCCTTGAGTCCGCAGGCTGATGCTCTATCCACTGAGCCAAACCGGTTAAGGCAAGAACTTAACTTTTAAAACCATTAGAACATAAGCCCTACTTTAAGATTTATGTTCAAAAGCTATCATAATACTTATTGATAAATGTTAATAGCATTTTCATTATAGTTAGAAAAAGGCAATAATTTTTATTATTATTATTGATTAACATTGATTGCTTTGTTGGTGCTAGCCAACATACATAACCAAGAAAATAAAAAAGCGAAAAATCTGAAATTAGAATAAAAGGCAAAATTAATATTATTAGCAAAAAAATATATGATTTTAAATATTTTAAGAGCCCTTAAAAGCTTCATGCCAAAAAATTACAAACAGTAAGGAAATCTGATGTGTGGACTTGTTTAAAAATAATAGGTAAAAATTAACTGTCTACTAAACTACAAAAGTCAGGAAAATGTGATAAAAAGGAAAATGCCATATTTATAAGGCCAAAAATCAGAAATAAACTATTTAATGAAAAATACTGGAAGTAAATTTATTACTTCAAAATTGTACAAGTGAACATAAAATAAGACATACATAATGGAAAAAGACACTATTCAAGGATAAAAGACAGTTTAAAGATGTAAGTTATCTCTATACATTTACTGTGATTCTGTTGAAATATATATTTAAAATTGGTCTCAGAGAGAGATTAAGAGGAAAGGAGAGAGAGACAGGGAGAGAGGGAAACAGAGAGAGAAAAGCAAAACATTGAGAAACATCCATCAGTTGGCTCCCATAGGCACCCAACTGGGATCAACACAAAACCGTTTTGATGTATAGAGCAATGTTCAACCAACTGAGCAACCAGTGGGGCTAATGTACTATATTTTAACATAGTAGGTTCTTGAAAAACTCATTTTAAGGATTTTAAGGCATAATGAAGTGCAATGATTGATAATATATTTTTAAAAAAGAAATGTAATATAATATTGTGGACACTATAAGTACTCAAGTATATTATTAAAGAGGGATATTTTATATGTAGTTTGAGTGGAAAGACAAATTAGAGAATATAGGAAAAATTTAAACACATAAGAATGTATTATATGCTAAAGGTAATATTTCATATCAATGAGAATATATTGATTTATTCACTAAATAGGATTAGGAAAATTCAGTAACCATTTGGAAAATAAAATTTTTTATAAATTTGAGTTTCTACCTCATTTATTACACACACACATACACACACCAAATAGACCCAATTAAAAAAGGAAACTATATAACTTATGATGGAAGCTTTATTTTATAAACTCAAAATAAACAAAGCATTTTATTAATATCAAACAAGATTAATGGTTTGAGCAAGTCAACTATTATCCATTTAAACACCCCTAAGTATCATAAGTTAAGTTAAAACAAAAATGAAATCTAAGATGAATATTGCAAAACATATCACAAGAAATGAACTAATATTCTCAACTTAAAAGTGAGAAAAAACTTAATACAAATATGAGAAGTCTCAAAGAAATAAAATAAGCACATGACAATCATAATACAAAATGTGTAATCCTTTGTTGTCTTTTTATTTATAACAAGAAAAATGAAGTTATAAAATTTTAAATAATATTGGTCATCAGATTTATATATTTAAAAATCTAAATAATGTTTAATGCAGAAAAAAAGAGTGAGCAAAAAGACTTTTAAATCTATATTTGGTACAACATAAGCTGATAGAGCCTCTTTGGACTGAAATTTTCAATCTTTACAAAAATTTTTAAAAAATGTTCTTGAGTCAGTAATAATGCTTATGGAATTTTTTCTAGAGGGTTACTAAAACAGTTGAATGGGTGTGTATAAAATATTATGTATATAATTACTCCTTAGTGAAAACTAAGAAACAATTTAAATATGCATTGGAAAAAATTCAAAGTCTTTCAATAATAAGATTTTTAGTCCATATACCAATAAAACACAATGCAAGCAGCTATTTATAAAAATTTGAAAACTTCATAAGACATGATTAGAATAATCACAAGGATATTTTCTTAAGTAAAAATAATCATAGAATATTTTGTATAGTTTCTTAAATATATGTTTTTAAAAGGGGTTTAGAGAAACTGTCCATTTTTCTCACAGTTGGAAAGAATGCATTCTGTCTTCTGGCAGAATTCCAACTTAAAGAACACACATATAATGCCTGCAATTTCTGTGCTTTCTTTTTTTAATGCAGAGGGATTTGGGATTGGTGTCTCGGAAATTTTAAAAAATGTAAACTTAACCATGAGTTATTCTGGGGAACTTGTACAGAGAAATAGGAGAAAATAGTAGATTTTAAAATCTTATTTTTAATAATTTACAAAGTACTTATTTTACCTGTCCTGAGAAAATATATGAGGAAAAAACACTAATATCACTCCTACATAGAAACACTCTAACGTCTACATTAAACATAAAAATACCAGAACCCTTTCTGCTTTTTCTCACTCTTTTTTCTCTAACAGCATCTGCATTTTTCCTTACCCGGTGCATTGCTGTAGCTCTGGGAATCCGTTTCATTGTAATGGTAACAATATGGAGTGCCATCGTCATAAATTGTAAGTGATAACAGAGACATAGATAGCATTGCTGATATAACAAATGTACTACATTACTTTGATTAATATTCAG